CCCTCATATGTTTCTAGAGTTGACTATCGAGGAAAAGGCATGACTAGAAGAGCCAGAGATGAGAGGAGAATTGATCCTAGGGGATTGCCTAGGATTCAGTATGATCATCAATTTCAGACAGCCTTTCATATGGACTTCTACACCAGTGTGATCCTCACCAGGAACCCAGTTATTGCCAGGTCTCAGTGGATTGACTGGCAGTACGTCAGAGATTTGCAGAAGGCCTCCATTGATCAAGCTATTGCCATTTGTGAGCATACAGGGGTTTATGATATCATGGAGTTCCAGCATGACTAGAACACAGAGGTGGTAGCTCAGTTCTATACCACCCTGTATGTTGAGGAGAATGAGAGGCATATGCACTGAATGCTTGAGGGCCAGTGGTATAGTGTGGATTATGATGCTTTTGCCGCCCTGCTTGTTTTTTCAGAGGAGGATCTTCAGAGAGATAGGATCCATACAGAGCAAGTACTCCCTCCAGAGCAGCTGGCCTACATGTACCCACCAGGGGGTGAGAGAGGAGCAGTGGGGAAGATTCTAGGTCTTCACCCTACCTATAGATACCTGAACAGGATGTTCAGGAAGACCATTGACTGCAAGAGTGGAGACAAGGGCAACATTGCAGATTACTCCAGGAACTTGCTCCACAGGATGGCTCTAGATGCACGGCCCTTCAGTGTTTTTGATTTCATATGGTGCAAGATTAGGAGCGTTGGCGAGAGGCCCCTCAAGGGCTGTGGTTTTGCTCCCTACATCATGCACATGATTGAGCAGGTCATAGTGCACACCTTTGAGTATGACAAGGTACATAAGGCCCTGAAGATTGTTGCAGACTTGCCTGAGGTTGGGTTACCTCCAGCAGTACCAGGAGGAGCAGCAGTAGCACCAGATGCAGATGAACCTGTAGGTGGTGCAGCAGCAGGACGAGCTTCCCCTCTACCACATGCTCCTTCTCGTTCTTCTTCACATCACCGCAGTCCTCCTTCTCCTTTTCACAAGATGTTCAGTTCCATCTTTGGGATGTGCTGGGACATTCAGGTTAGGCAGCGGGGCATTGAGTCTAGGCAAAGGAAGGAGAGGGAGGCTAGAAGGAAGGACACCAGTACTCTAAAACAATTAGCTAACAGACTTGAGCTTGATCCTCCTAGGTCTCCACTGTCGAATGGCACAGTCTCAGCTGCTAGTGAGCCAGAGACTAAGAAGCAGCAGCAGGCCAGATATGACAGATAGTTTGCTGAGTTCTTTCAGCGGCAGCAGCCTCAGCAGGAGCAGGCTCAGCAGCCACGCCCTAGTGTGGGAGAGGAGATGGGTTCTGCCTTCTGGCAGGACATCTTCAGCAGTGACCCCAGGTACTCTACCAGTGACTACGGCTTTGGTGGCCAGGGTCTCTACGGGGGTATTGGTGCTCAAGGACAGAGTTCGTCTCGCCCACCCGGTGCTTCACGCTCAGACGACGAGGGCGATGGTGATGGCGATGAGTGATGTTAGAGATCAGAGACAGCTTGCAGCCCCTTTATGCTTAGTATGTCATTATTAGACCTTTGTGGTGATAGATGACAAAGGGGGAGAGAGACTGATTGAAGCTTTAGGATTTTGCTTTAATGATGTATCTTGAGTTTGAGATGAGACTTACTTATGCTTTATCTATGTATCTCTTGAGACATGATCCTTATTTATATATATTAATGGCTTGTGGACTTGAGAAAATGTGTAATGAGTGCTATGTGTGACATACATGTGTTATATTTATTTTCATAAGGACTATGCATGCTAGAATGAAAATATTCGATCTGATGTCTTTATATTTATTCTTGTGTGATATATCTTGTCATATGCATCACAGTTTTACTTTGTCACACACATATGCACCCCACGGATGCAATGATTTAGGGGGAGTCTCCTATATGTTTTAGTATGTGCAATAGACATTTGAGGTCATTTTGTGAATTCTAAGCATAAGCACATATTAAGGGGGAGCCTCTCATAAATCATTGAATCCAAAAGCCAAAATGTTTATATCCTTTTGTAAGCTTTAATCAAGTTGTCATCAATCACCAAAAATGGGGAGATTGAAAGTGCATCTAGCCCTTTAGTGGGTTTTGGATGATTGAATGACAACGTGATTAAAGGTCTAACCCGTTTGCTAAGTGTGGACAAGTAATAGGTTATCTCACAGGTACTTAATGAAAGTCAAAATGATGTGTTGATATATAAACAATCTAGTTCAAACACAAGACAACAATGCAAATGAAATTCATGCAAAGGCTTATTAATTATGGAATTTCCATGTACTATGTGAAAGCAAGCTAGTAAGAACAAATTAATGAGACATGAGGGATTGCATTTGGAATGGTCTCATATTTTAAGCTTGCTAAGTTGAAATTAAAAAGATAACAATACAAATGAATAGATGATTCAACACAAGATGTGACTTGATGGCTTGAGATGGTGAAGATAACAAGGAAAGGCTTCGAGGTACTAAGCAAGGGTGAAGGGCAAGCGACAGCTTGGTGGCCGTAGAACCTAGCTAGGGTGAAGAAGGAAGTACTTGCATTTAGTTGAGGTACTAATCAAGCTATGATGGTCATGTAGATGTGGAGGATCAAATCACTATTAAAGTATTTGATGGAAGTGACTTGATACATTTGGGATTATTCATTTTTTATGAATGGAATCAAGTCACGTGCTCAATATGGCTATGCTCAAGTGAAAAGATCAATATCAACATATTTGCACCCTCACTTGATGAAGATTGAAATACACGGCTTCGGTTGAAAGATATCAACTCAAAAAGTTTAAATTCGTTTTTCATTTGATCTTGAGTTTAGTAGGTATGTCGTACTATTAAGAGGGATGCATCATGTTGATAGATAATCATTCATAAGTGCTCATGCCAACCCATGTGAGTTTTGAGTGTTTGAGAGACAAAAGAGCTAACTTGTGTCTTGCTGATCTGGCAATACCGGACATGTCCGGTATGTGCCTAGCCACGATAAAATTCTTGTTGTTCTTGGGTTGGTTCGTCGGGAGTTCCGACATGAGTCGGAAGTTCCGACGGTCCACTGATCGGGAGTTCCGACATCTCTCGCTTAACTGACTTGAAAATATTCACTATGGTCATACCGGACCAACGGCTAGTTTTCAAATGCCTTGAGAGTTAGGAGTTCCGACGGTCGAAAGTTCTGGCATAAGTCGGGAGTTCCGACACCTCATAAACTTCAACTCAGTTACCGTAGTTTTTAAATATGCTGAGGGTCGGGAGTTCTGACGTAAGTCGGGAGTTCCGACGGTCGGGAGTTCCGGCATTCATCGGAAGTTCCGACGCCTCACAACGTCACTGTAACTCAGTTACCGTTGGTGCAGTGTAAGTCATACCGGACGTGTCCGGTATACGTACCGGACGTGTTCGATATGGCAACAGCTATAAAACGGCTAGTTTTTCTAAGGGGTCTATAAATACCCCCAAGCCTCCACCTTTGGAGGTTGCTGATTCTGCTCATACACATACACGTTTTTGAGCCTTGCCAACTCTCCTAAACCCTCTCTTAGTGAGTGAGTGATCCAAATTGCAAAATCAATTAGTGGGTTGAGAGAAATTCAAAAAGAGAGCAATCCAACCACTTGAGCACTTGTACATATTGTCAATCTCGTGATTTGCATTTGTTACTCTTGGACTCTTCGGTCCTATATGGCTGGGCGTCGCTGGAGAGCACCCGAGAGATTGTGGTGTGCCTCGGAAAGTTTGTAACGGTCGATTCTGCCGCCTCGGAATCAACTAGTGGAAGGAGGAAAAGGAGTTGGAAAAGACTTCGGCTAGAGTGACCTTCGTGGTATCCTCTAGGGCTGACCTTCGCTGGGTCGCCCGCAGCCCCCTCAACGGAGAGCAGGACTCGAACGAGTCCAAACTTCGGTAAAACAAATATCGTGTCTCAATTCGCATTTCATTTGATATTTGTGTTGCTCCAGCTATTGCGCGGGATATCTGTGTTTCTTGTCATCTCTAGTAGGTACCTGCAGTTTGGATTGAAGATAGAAATCAAAAGGAGCAAGTTTGGTGTTGTTCCACTGAAACCGTGTAAGCTACCGAACACGTCCGGTATTGACCACTGTGCCAGGCTGTTCGGCAGAACACGTGCATACCGGACACGTCTGGTATTTCCTACCTGTGCTGAAAATATCCAATTCTATGTTCTAACTTTGTGTTGCAGGGTTGTAGCTTCTAGATATATTCTTTATACCTTGTATACTTTGTGGCTAACTTGTGAGGGGTAGTATTACTCTTAATTTAAAGTTTCCATTTTGGAAACTCTCATTACTGACTCGTTTTTAAATTTAAAGGTGTTAATTTTCAGAAACGCCTATTAAACCCCCGTCTAGACAACATCCTATGTCGTTTCACAGATTCTTGTAGACCTCAACATCAATCCACCGATATGGTGAGATCTGGCCGCCGCCACACCTCACCGCCGGTGGAACCCCAACCCCTCGATCTCGCTTGGACTATGGCTCATATCTCAGCTGGTGTGCAGCAGCAGTGCTTGATGAAGCTGCGCTGAAGACGAAGAAGACAGACAGCAACTGGCAAAACAACTCACGTTCTGGGCTCATGTTATGTGGCCCACCTCCGTTTGGGCCTAAAATCAGCCGTGTAACTACATTCATATGCGTGATACAGACATTCTACAACCTATCTGGCCGACAAGCAAATAGTCGCATGAAGTTGCCCATTCTCTACCCGTACCAGGAATAGGAACGATGCAGTTGACACCAAATTTCTACTTACAAATTATGTCGCACTATTATGAAATATGTCAGTCGCAAGAAAAAAAATTATGAGATATGTATTGAATGATACACGTTGGAGCACATTTGGAGCAAACATGACAAACAATTTGGCTTAGAACAGCTGCAAGACAAAAATTACTCTTTTTCAGTACGGATGATCACAACTCATAATACATACAGAGATAGAACTGACATGAATACCCTAATAATAGTCATCAAAGAACTAGACCAGACCCTAAATCATCTGAAGAGAGGGAAGCAACGAACGCCTGACGCCTGACGCCTGAGGAGGTCCTACATGATGCTGGGCCTCTCCCTCGTACGACGGGATGCATCTTCCGTTGCTTTTGCTCAAACATCTTTGCTGCCTCCTTGTCGTTGATCTTCTGAATGGTGTGTTGACGCTTGATCTTCTCGGCCCCTTGATAACCCTCACGCAACTTGCGTTTTCTAGCCTCCATCTTCTTGCTCTCGTCGACGGCTGGCTTATTGGTCTCGCTCGTGTTCGGTATCGAGACAGTAGCTGTGGTCGGCAGCATCTTCGCCGGGGGAACATACGCCTTCTTCTTGTATGCCTCGGCGACGGGGACGGTAGGAAGCATCTTCGCCGGCGGTATCTGTAGCTTCTTCTTGTGTACCTCGGCGGCGGGAAGCATCTTCGCAGGCTGTATGTGCAACTTCTTGTGTCGACGCGCATTGCCATCAGCTATCACTGCGGAGATGCTCTGGCCTGGGATCCGATCATCAGCAGAGAGCTTGTCGAGCTCTTCCTTGACTGCTGTAGTTGTGGTGACGTTGGCCGCCCTCCACCCGCGCACGACGTCGCCCGCGAGCCTGCGGATCCGGGCCGAGCCGTGCTTCTCGAGGGCGCCGACGGTCCTTTCGAGGTCAGTGGACGCCAGCGCGCTGTGCGGGACGGGCGCCACCCGCAGAGTCTCTAGCGCTTCCGCCATGGCCTCGTCCAGCGCGCCGCAGAGCTGCTCGGCCACGCCGTCGTCAGTGGCGCCGCGGAGCAGCTGGAGGATCCGGACCCTCACGTCCCGGAACGCGGCGCGCGGGTAGCCGCCTGCCTCCTCGATCGCGTCGTCGATGGCGCCGAAAGCGCTGTAGAATGGCCTCCACCTTCGCAGGAGGCTCCCGCTCTGCTCGTTGGCCATGGTGGCGGCGGATGAGGGAAAGCCGGCGGGTAGGGTCGGCGGATGCAAGCAGTGGACGAGCGGATGCGGATGGAATTGGGAAATTGGCGCGGATGGAATTGGGAAATTGGTGCGTCTGATTATATAGAACGAGCCGATCGAATCCGACTCAAGTTCCTGTGCATTCAATCAAGCGTGAGCGTGCCGCGTTTCCGCGAGCACATCGAATTGGAGCAATCCGACACCGACTCGAGCTCGACGGCTCTGCGCGCGCTGCCTGCAACTTGTAGAAATTGTTTTACCACCATGGGAACCGCTGGGATCCAACCGTTGCCATGTGCACCGCCGCTAGCCATGGCCGCCGCCACGCGCTTTCACGAGAGCAGCTCGGCTCGGGCATATTCCATCTGTACTGACGCAAGCGCCCCCACTAAGGTAAACTCATGCTGCTCTCCAACCCTTCGTACCTTCGCACAGAGCCGCAGTTCGCCGGAAAACCGTGCGCGCCGCCGTGAACGCCTACTGCTCCGTCGCCGCGCTCTGCGCTGCCGCCGCACATGGCCGGCCCGCCACATGCCGCCCCCGGCCGGCCTCCTGGAAGTCGCGGGTGCACGAGAGACTAGGGAGGTTCGCTATCCCACTCCCTACCGCCGGTGAGGCCATGCCCGGACAAATCGATGGACGCCCTGTGGGCTGTGCGCCTGTGCTCTGTTTCTGTATGTGAAGAGGAAGGTGGAGTTGGGAGAGGAATAGAAGGAAGAGGAGGGTTCCATTTGAGAAAGTGCAAGAGAGGGGTTCCAGTGCTTTGAAAATACTTTGCCGTCCCAATGCAAAAGTGTCTTTTAGTTTTTCTTTTTCTGAAAATGACCAGATGAGCAATGTAATTTTTGTAAACTTATATTGTTCATATATCTATACAAAGTAGAAGTGTAAAACCACTCATTTGATACTTTATTTTAAGTATAATAAGATGTACCCATTCCTTGGTGTATTTTTGTAAGGCATACTTGTCTTCAATAAACCTAGAGTAATGAAATAGAAATATAATAAACGACACATGTCACACTCCAGTAAAAACTGTTGAGAATCGGCGTATTCACGGATTGCAAGACCCGTTTTTCCATTTCCAAACCCAAGAAAGAGGCGTGTAGAAGTTTATAGATATATCCCGTCTCCCTCTCCCAATCATCAAGAATAACCCACAAGAACACACGAGACAAATATATGTGAGAGGGAGTCATCTCTTCATTAATCGATATAGGCGTACATGTTGTCCCTTTGTATAGATGCATTTAGGGCATATATGGTAGACACCATGTCATATATGGTATGAGCCCATCAGAACATATACGGTATGAGCCCATTAATCCATTAATTGAGGAATTCTTAACAAAAACTTCATGCCTAGAAATGTTCAATCATAGTTTTAAATAGCGAGCAATTGAAAATAGTGGTAACTTTTTTTCAACAGCCATGAGGCTATAGCGGCGCTATGACAGATAACGTTTTATAAAGAAAACATGAAAAACACCAATACTTGATGCAAAAAACATGGTAAATATGAAATTCGATCAACACAAATATATTTCTAAGGTTCCACAAGTCTATGTAACATTACTGATATGACATTAACATTACTGATATGACATTACAACATGGTTCATGAAAGCCCAGTGTTTAATTAACCAAAATACCAAATTAGTAGCAAATTATAAGTAGGAAATAACAAATTAAATTGTCAAAATCTATTAGTGATGGCAAAATGTGAAATAGCGCCGCTATTTGAACGCTAAAGCTATGCAATTAGCGGGGCTATAGCACACAATAACGGTTAAAGTTGACATAGCGGCACAAATAGAAATAGCTTAGCGTTGAGTCTCTCCAGCCGCTATAGCGGTGCTAGTCCGCTTTTTTTCTGAGTTCAATGTAAGTGCAACAAATAACGAAATAAAAGTTTCAGATGAGGAATTTGCTACGGCCGAACAACGACGCCCAGTTTGGCCCGGTACCCATCGTTTGTCCATCCACCCGCCCGCGCCGTCTCCCTGAGTGTCCAAGATTCAGGTTCAGGTTTAGGTTTAGGTCCAGAAAGATGAGATACATGGGCTGCTGGGTTCATTTCCAAAATTTACCAAACTAAGGATTTGGCAAGATTTGGCAAACTATGATTTTACCTAGTATTTGGTTGGCTACCCAAACTTAACAACTTCTTACATTTGGCTGGACAAATCTCTTTGGTAATTTTTTTGCCCAACTTTTGGCTGCCAAATCTTTGGTATGGTAAATTTCGGTCGCGAACCAAGCAAGCCCACAGTGCCTCCTGCAAGATTTCTCCATGCTGACTGTCTTTTTTCCAACGAACACGAAGGGGATTGACATGCCTTCTTGTTCTCGACAAGTTCTTTGGGTTGCCAGATCAAGCTGTCGACCGTGATCGGTCAATATAAGGGGACGGGCTCCGCTTGATTTTGTGAGAACAGAATGCCCGGCCATATCTTTTCTGTCACATGCGTGGATTTTTCTTGCTTTCTTCTCTGTGTCCTCGATGTAAGTTCACCAACCAAAATTCAGGGAACGAAATGGTATAAAAAAAACTCATGTTCCTGGTGCTGTACGCTGTTTGGTTCCTGGCTTGCCACTCTGAATTTTCAAATGCAGCGTGGCTGCAGCTTTCAGACTTCAGGCTTGGTTTTGGTTCTTCTTTCAGCAGTTTTGTGCTTTATATTATATCATCAGCCTGTTGGAATATGACAGGTGCTTCATTAATCAATAGGGCGCGGTAAGTGCAGGAACTAGTAGAAGATGATTCGAAAGTGGTCTTTGGACTCCAACCAGAAAAGGTATTTTTTGTAAGCTAGAAAACAACTGCTTTATTGCGCAGACGTCCTTCTGTAATATAAAAAGGGGTTTGTCATACATCATTTCAGTAGTTTGGTGATGGGAATTGACCTGAGACTCTAGCGAGGCCTCCAAAATCCAAATGGGCCCACACACATTTGGATCTGCCTCGATGGCCGAGTGGGCCACAAAGAGACGGTGAGCTTGCAACTGTTTGCACCCTGAGATTGCGCGCGGGTGGTCTGGGCCGTGGGTGCTTGTGTCGCTAAACTTGGGCCGAATGCTAGTCCCGCAGGTCCTACGTTGCTACACTGTACTTTCCCCTAGAAGACGATACAAAGCCTTGCTCATAAAAATCCAAAACAAAGAATACAAAATCCGCTGTACCATTGCACCTTAGAGAGACAAACAAAAACTATTTTTTTCCTATCTATTCGTCCAATTATGGATGTCCTATATATACGAATATCGAAACATATACCGTTATGATCGGCACAATCCTATATATATATATATATGTGTGTGTGTGTGTGTGTGTGTGTGTGTGTGTGTGGTAGATTAAGGTGCAACCAAAGAAATCCTCAGCGGCTCTTGGTAAGACCTCCACCCTCAAAGAGCATTATGCGCCACGTGAGATATATTTGCTGACGTACGTGTGGTGATGGATTCTGTCGAGTGTCGATTCGGGTGTATGTTTTGCTCGGTCAAAAGGCAGATAGTGGTCTACCGTCTACGCTGGCTGCCTGGGACGTTATCGTCGGTCGAATCATGCTGCGGGCATTTGGAATTTGGAGAATTTGACCTGCGTCTGCGTGGCCTCAATATATTGTTCCACCCCGGCCGGGCAGCCCCCAGCAGCTCCCCACGTGTGCTCAGGCGGATCGGAGCAGGAAGGAATCAGCCGTTGAGACGCGAGCACGGAGCACCCTTCCACATCAACACTTGTGCCCAGTGGGCATTATACAGCCTGTTCGGCTGGGCTAAAACGACGGTCGTGAATTATTACTGCTGACTGATTTGGTATGAGAAAAAAATATTATTCTGACTAGAAATTTACACTCGTTTACGAACAGAACAAGCCTCCAAATAAAGCGACGCCAATGGTCCATCCTGCCTGTGCCCATGTCTCGTCTGGTTTTACCTGCACGTCGTCGTCGTCGCTTTCTCCGCGGGCTGCTGCTGCTGCCTTTTTCGACCATCGCTTTTCATCTGCCTCTGCATCCATCGAGCCGTCACATGACATGAGTCTTGGTTGGACTGGGAATGGGAGGAGAGGAGCATCAGACGACGGAAGGAGAAGCAAGCAGCAGCAGCACGAGACGAGATACGAGAGAGAACGTGTGTGTGTGGGGGGGGGGGGGATGGGTACGATGGATGGATCGTAGCACGCCGCGCCGTAACAATAGCAAGTGGACATCGAACACGCCCAGCAGGCCAGCAGCAGCAGCGCCTGTCGTTCACCGCATGCAATGGCGACGTCGTAAGGCATGCCAGCATGACCCCAGGCGAGGTCGAGCTCTGCTTTGGGTCTGTTCGTTTGTCTTATGATCTGTATTTTTAGCTTGTTTTTTTTAGTCAGAATAGTATTTTTCTCTCACAACAAATCAGCTGGAATAGTATTTCAGCTTTTTTACAGCGAGCGAACGAAGCCTTTGGTTCCGTTGCTTTATTAGGCAAGAATACAGACGCTGGGACCTCCGACCCGGCGGTTTCGTGTTGGACCATGTATACGCCGTCGGTCGGCTTGCGCTGGGGCCCAGTGCGCACTTGGCCGGCACCACACCAGGCCAATCCTCGGTCCACATCGCGCTCTGTTGCCCCGTGCTCCGCGCGCTTCCGATCCGCCGTGTCGATTCTTCCGTCCGTCCATCCCGCCAAAAAAGCCTCCCGATCGATTGATCTGCCTTTGCTGCCCTGCCTCCGACTCCGATCCTCCACTTGGAACCCACCGTAACGTAACGTCTCCAACAAGCTCAGCCTACCTAGATCGAGCGGCTTGCTGCTTTTGAATTTTGATTGACGTTTGCAGTACAACATAGTATACAGTAGTATAGTGCCGTAAGAGATTACTGCAGCATTTAAACTTTAAGGGCACGTTTGGATGATGCGCGTTTTTTTCAAAAACCGTAGTATCATACAACTATGGTTTTATAAGCCAAATAATCACAAAACCATAGATTTAG